CAGGGGTTCTCATTGTGGAAGCAGTCGCCGTTGTGGAAGCAGTCGCCGTCAAGGACGCTCCACTCGGGCACTGGCGGCGCGCTCTCGGGCCAGCTCTGGGTGCCATCGAAGCGCTCTTGCGCCGGGCTGTTCTCAATGCCGCGGCCGGCCTCGGTGGAGTAGCTCTACGGCTCCATGCCCGTGGCGACCTTGAGGTCGCCTTACTCTGTCGGCCGGAGCACAAACATCTGGTTGGCTTGCAGCCCTCGGAGCGGCGCCGCGTCTTTGTTCTGCTCGCGGAAGCGGGCGTAGGCCTCGGAGACGCAGTAGAGACACTCGTAGGGCCCCCATTGTGCCGGGGACTTGTGCTCCATATGGGGCTCGGCCTTGGCCTTCTGGAGCCAGTCTTGCTCTGTGGCCCAGTGCATCTCGGCCTGGACCTCTCGGAACTTTGCCTTGAGCTGGCCGTGCTCGCGGGCGTCGGGCTCTTACAAGATGCTCGTGGCGTCGGGGGCCATGGGCGCGCAGATGATATGATTGAGCCGCGCTCGCAGGGCCACTGCCTCGGTCCACTGGCTCGAGAGGCAGTCTACGAACGCGAGGCTCTGGCCGCGCTCCTGCCCGATGAAGTCGATGGCCCAGCTTGCCACCAGCTCGTCCGCCCAGGCTCTCGGCTGCCCCCGCGCGTCGATGGCCCCGGAGACCCTCGCGCGTTTCGCCTGGGAGAACTCGAGCAGAGCGTTGCGCCAGCCCTTGAACAGTGCTCCAAGGGGCTCGCCTGCTCGGAAGCGCTCCGTCTCGCCGTCGCCCCGCTCGTAGGCGACGTCTCGCCGCCAGACGCCCTCCTCGAGGTCCATGCCGCTGACTCGGCAGTGCCTTGCGCAGTGGACAAGGAGCACGCTGCGCTTCTCGGCGGACCTCGGCCCCTTGCTCAGGTCGAACCAGTTCTCGACCGCGGAGACGCTGATCAAGGTGATCCTGCACTTATCTCCTGCGCTCGAGTAGGCCTGCTCCACTTGCTCCTCGCGGTCGGGGTGGTCTGCCAAGGGCTTGGCAGTCTCCGCCTCGAAGGCTGCCTTGTCCTGCTCGTCGCACGTCTCGCGAAACTGATTGCGGAGGTTCGCGATGCGTTTCTTGGCGCCCGCGGCGCGCACCTTTTGGGCGCTCGAAATGCGCGCAAAAAGAATGGGTACAATGCCCCGCAACAACTGTTGTGCCGAACCAACAGCGGCCGCTGTTGGGCAGGCGGCCCACTGTCTCGAATGGGCGCAGGCCGTGGCGACGCCGACGGCGAATCCGGCCCATGTTGGTCCAGCGGCGGTTAGCGCGGAAGCGCCCCGGAGCATCGGGACCAGTGGGGCTTGCGCCCGACGCAGTGGGGATTGCTACCGACGTAGGAAGAGGGGATGGAGGGTCGAAGGCAGGCGTGTAAAATCCCCCACTGCCTGCTCCGAGTCCTTCTCCTGTCCCCCCGTGGGCGGCGCGGCGGCGATGTTCAGCAGCTAGTCGCGCCTCGGGTCCGTCGGAGCTGGGGGGTGGGGTGGGGGGTATCTGGGGCACCAACACGGCCACCTCCAAGGCCCCCCCCCCCGAACTCATCACCGAGCCGTCGCGCCGTCGGAGTGCTCGGACGCGAAGCCTCGAAGGATCCCTTACGGCGCATGCGCCGTCGGGGCCCCATCGGGGCTGCGAGCGAGATCGCGACGCAGGGTTCGGTGAACGGTGAGCTTTTAAGGCCTGATAACCGGTGTATGTGGCCAGAATGCAAAGGCGCAGAACCCCTGATCCGTAGGTAGAGGAAGGAGGGAAAGATGGGGATCTTTTCCTCCTGTGCGATCAGCGACCTGATCTAAGCCAATACCTGAGCCCAAACGGCCAGGATACATGTACATAAAGAATATGTATGAGGGTATTACACGGTTCATTTCACAGGCAACGCTAGCTCGCGGAGGTGGAGGAGCTCGGCTGGGATGCTTGGGAGGGCTGACCAGGCGCGCTCGGTGTAGGAGCCGCGGGTCAGCTTCTCGAGTTTCTCGGCGCCGAGCTCCACGTCTCTTTTTTGGCGAACTCCTCCAGCTTGGCCTTGAAGCTCGGCATGTTTCCAGAAAAGGGTCCTCGGGCGGCTCTCCGTGGTTCTCGAAGATGTCGGCCACGTGCTCGTCTTTCTCGACGTAGGAATGACAGAACACCGCCACGGCCAGCTCGATGCGCCTCTTCTCCTTCCCGCTGAAGATGCGGGTGTACTCGATGCTCTTGTGGCATCCGCCTTGGCAGACCATCTCCAGGACGGCCTTCTGGGCGCTCGACGACCACGAGGCCGACCCGGCCTTGAAATAGCAGCTCGTCATGCGAGCTGCGTCCGTGCCTTGCGCGCTCGATAGGCGTTGCCTCATCCCGGCAATGCTGACTCCCTCGGCGATGTAGCTCAATTTCTCGATGATCTTCTCGTTATGCTTGGCCATGCGCTCGAGCATCTCGTTCGAGCTCGGCGCCGCCACGTGCTTCAACGTCTCGACGGGCAGGCTCGCGGCAGCTGCGCGCTCGGCCGGGTAGGCCATCGCTGGGGCTCGCGACACAGTCAGGGGCAACGATGTGTGGGGATAGGCATTGGGGGGGACATCGACCTGGAATCGGCAATACATCGCCGATGCATCGGCGATGCGCGCCCGTTTCAGCGGCGATGTATCGCATATTCCAAGTCGATGTCGCCCCCCCCCAAAAAAAATGCCTATGCATCGGCGATACATCGCCGATGCATAGGCATGCCGATCCCCCCCTTATCGCTGCCCCTGGGGCGAGCAGGCTCGGCGCCTCGAAGAGGCTTGAAAGCTTGGAGTCTCGGAGGCTCAGGGAAGCTTGGGCCTGGGCAGCCGAGGGGGCAAGGGGGGAGGAGGAGGAGGAGGAGGAGAAGGAGGAGAAGCAAGAGGAGGAGGAGCAGGAGGAGGAGGAGGAGGAGCAACAGGAGGAGGAGCAGGAGGAGGAGGAGGATTGGCCATTTTGGAAGGGATCAGCACTCGGCGAGTGCTGATCCCTACCCAAACGTCTATCTGACGTTTAACCCATGTTCGTAGAGCATCCCATGGCCCTGCCGCACGGTCGTAGCGTGGGCAAACTAAACTGGTGAGAGTCTCGCAGCCTTGCCACACGCTCGTGATTGCGGAAGCTGGTGTGGTGTGACGACCATAGCCATGCTCAACGTTTTTGCTGCCGTTGCTAATCAACGTGATATGATAGCAATTTCGATCCCCACAACTTTCCGGGTGATTATCAATTTCGGCCCCCGCGCCTTCCCCACTGATGGATCCCTGTGGGCGGGAATAAATGCGCCGGCACAACGGGCCTGAGGCGTGCCAAGATCTCCGGTAACTACTTAACAATATTTCGAGTTCGCGCGCGCGGGGCGGCCCCTGGGGGGCCCCGGCAAAAATTCATTCAGGAATCAAGGGTATTGGAGCCGATGGAACACTAATCGTGCATTGGCCATTGGTGCCACCGCCAGCCCCATACGATCCGTTGATCGAAACACCAGAGCGGCAATCCATCAGCCCTTCTAGAGATTGCCCCGTCTCTGCCAAAATATCAAAACAGACGATTGCGGCATCTCCAGTCTGTTGGTCTCGGCAAGGGCAATGCGGACATACCCCTCAAGCGTCGCGCCCCCTGACACGCGTTTCGCCTCGAAGGAGTGGGCGCGGCGCGCGCGGTAAAAAAAATAGCGCACACCAGCGCGAGCCAATCACACAAAATTTCCTCCCGACAACAATTAGCAACGGCGCAGGGCGTACATAGCCGCGCCAAGTTAACGCAAGACCAGATGAACAATCGAATTCACCAAGAGCCCCGTCCATACGGATGCGAGGAGGGGGGGGAGGAAACCGTCCCTGTCGCGAAAAAGCCATGCCACAAAAAAGTGGCATGACACGTCATTGGAAAATCATTCTGCACGAAGCAGGCATCAACACGCTGCCAACACAAAACAAGGTCCAACCAACGTCGTTATGGGAATCGATAAACCCACCAAACGAAACTTCACCACAACCATATAACAAGACAGACTTGCATGGACGCGAAACAAACCTTATGGTCCAGTTCCGTGTCCATACGCTGTGTGATGGAACGCCCAAGTCCGAGATGTTCTGCTCGTCGGTGGTGGTGCGGCAAGGCGTTGGAGAAACCACGCGTGTACACCATCTTCGCGGCGATGGCGGTCTTGATTCCGAGCCTGACCTGCCTATGCGGACCCACATGAGCATCAGCCTGCCAATGCCGAAGTTGACGATTGTGACCACGAAATGTCCCGAATGCATCAGGGCGGCACCCCCCCTCCCAGCTGGCATGGCGAGATACAACTGCGGGGCTAGGGCCCCGGCCCTCCAGTAGCAAGGAAACATGCTGGCCCCATCCCGATGGCGCCATCACGATTAGATAAGGGATCCTCCAACGTCTGAAATCTCCCAGGTATATTCCTTAACAAACGCCCCCACCGTATAAGCTACGGTGACACCGAGGCAGTGCTTTACTTCTCCTGCTGCGGCCCCAGACCTTCCCAGGAGGCTTGGATGAACTCCCGAGCAGACCTCACGGGGCACACGAGGCTGCATGGGGCTTCAAAGCGGCCCGAAAAGCTGGTGGCACCGTGGCCTCCGATCCTTGCCCTTCTGCTCTTCTCTTCCTCCATGGGCACCCTCCTGCTCCTCCCGAAGGAGGAGGAGGAGGATGAGGAGGAGGAGGAGGAGGAGGAGGAGGAGGAGGCTTTTCTGGCCGTGGACGGTCCCGCCGAGGCGCACTCTCAGCAGCCTCGAGCTCGTCGGGTCCCGCTCCTGCTGCTGCTGGAGGAACAGACATATATACACATATCGATACAGCTACTCCACGAACCTCTCCAGGGGTGCATTCTGACAAAGATTTCGACGCGAGTCCAGCCGTGGCGACTAGGGACGGATAGCAATATCGGTGTCTTCTCCCCCTCTGCTCACCCTCTCCTCCCTCCATCCCTCCGCCTCCTCGGCGCCGCCGGGGTCCTAAGAACGCCACGAGGACGCCCAGCCAGGACAGGTAGGCCAGCTTGCGCCCGAACACGCGAGACAGGAGGGCCGTGGCCACAGGCGACAAGGTGCCGATGATGGCGACCAGCCCGGCCCTGGCGGGGATACACAAGACTCGGGCGTCGTGCAAGCAAGAATGGCGACGGCTGGAAATTCGTGGGCCCTTGGGGGAGCACATATAGTACCAATGGCACGTCGCTGTGAGGAACCAATCAGCGTGTTATTCTTGAATGGAAACCAGATCTTCAGATACAGCGAAGGAGTAACACGCTGATGGGCTCCCAACGGCGGGGTGCCATTGATACTCGTTTCCCATCCTCGAATCTGGGCCTCTGGAGACCCGTTTGTCGACTGCCGGACATTGAACAAGTGACAAAGAGCTGTCCCTGGGGCTGGACGACGCCAGTCGTGCACCAGGCCAATCTGTTACACACCGCCGCGTGTGGCAGCAGGCGTGGAAGCGTGCATCGAAATGGTGTGGTACGTGGGGGGAGACAATCTGCCGACACTCTGACCCGAATCTCGACAAGAATCTAGCCGTGGTGGCGAGGACTTTCCACGACGAGCAGCGGTATCGGTACACGTCGGTCGGCAGAAGTAGGCATAACTATACATGAAGTAGGAAGGCGGTGAAAGTAGGTTGGGCTTCCGCCCGCCCCTTGAAGAGGAGGGAATCGATAGGGAACGCCACTCGACTCTTGAAGTAGGAGGGCTGCTAAAGTAGATCGGGATTCGGGAATCCGAAAAGACCTACTTTCAACGACCGACGTGGCTGGCGCCGCCCAACTGGGGCCCACGTCTTGGACAAAACAAGATCACGGCGGCGAAAGGCGGTACACTCGACCAGGATAGTAAGGATGCGCGGTAAGGATGCAAGGGCCTTGGAAGGCCATGTTGACATTTCCCATGCGGAGCGCAGCAGAACACCGAAGGATGCCGAATACCGAGGGGGCAAGGCTGCAAAAGGGCAGCCTGCTGGAAACTTGCCCCATCCTTACTGTCATGGTTGACGGCAGGCCGTCAGCCAGCTTCGCGCGCCGTGCTGCGAGGGGAGTCCCGAGCACTGTGGCTGCCTCCGCGCTGCTGCGCCGGCCGCCCCCTTGGAAGGGCACCTCGCCAGCCCACACTGCGCCAAGTGCATGCTCGGCGGCGCGCCCAAGGGTGATGGGAGGCAATTGCTGGGAGGTCTTCGTCGGGAGGATTACGGAGGAGTCAGCCCCATTGGGGGGCTACTGTGCCGGATGGGGCCGCAGACTGAGCGGGATTAGGCCAGAGTGAGCGGGATTGAGCCTGGTTCAGCGGGAGTGCGCGGGATAAAACCGGAGCTCTGACCAGGGCAATGTCAGCATTGGATCTCCCAGGAGTTGCATCCGAGCAGGGGGGGATCGAGGGGGCGGGCCTTCTCAAAATGCTCAGGAGATGTCAACGCGTGTTGAGTGCAGATGGGAGATGAAGGCTTCGAGTTATGGGAGGCCCACTGTCTCCTACCTGTGGTTGCCAGGCCCTGCCCACAGCGCAGTCGTATCCGCGACCCTGTAGGTGAACTAGGCGGGAATTGATCCGCCGAAGGCAGGCTGCCACGGCCGTCTGGTCAGAAAGTGCATGTATGGCGAGCACGGCAGGCGCGCTGGAGCTGGAAAGATGAGACCGAACATTCGAAAGCGACATCGTGATGCCCTGGCAGCAGAGGACCCCGATCAGCATAGTTTCAACTACAGGATGAGGAAGAAGATGAGAGGAGGAGGGGAATGAAGAGGAGGGGGAGGAGGAGGAGGAGGAGGAGGAGGAGGAGGAGGAGGAGGAGGAAGAGGAGGAGGAGGAGGAGGAAGACCATACGGGAAAACATGTGGGAGACTCTGCGGGAGACCACACGGGAAGCCACGCCGCCCCGCCGATCCCCCGATCCGGGTGCGCACCCCCACCAGCTGCACAACGGATGTAACAGAAGAGCCCTTTAAAGACAGCTGCAAAGGACAACACTAGTGTTGTGGATGCCACAAGAATGGACACCCTAACAGTCCTATCATTGAATATGATATGTGCTTAAACTGTCAGAAACATGTTCTAAACATGTTTTGAACTTGGTTTTACATGCTAAACCATGTTTAAGACATCTGGAAATTATTTGGCAGCATGCTTCCTCTCCATTGATCGTCCCCCACAACACCAGTGCGAAAAGCGTGGGAACTGAACATCGACAGACCCAGCACACAGCACGTGCCACACGACGAAGCTTGGTGGGTCGAACTGAGTGGCGCCTCGGCAAAGTTGATGTACGGCTGCGCGAGGAAAGAGTGTGTGCATCCTACTTTCAAGCTGTATTGGAAGAGTCAGATGTGAAAGCCATGAATGCAAAAATGAAACTGAAGCTAGCACAAGTTCGCGCAGGTGGTCGGCGTGCTTTCTACACAGGCGCATGTACAAATGTGAATGTCAGATTCCTCGGGCTTCGATGTGGGCGATATGTGATGGACCTAACACCACAGTATTGCACTGTGGTGCAAGCCATGTGGTGCAGGCTATGAGGCGCAAGCTACGTGGTGCAAGCTCAATGCTGTAAGCTAGGTGGTGCAAGCTAGGTGGTGCAATCTGCGTGGTGCCAGCTATGTGGTGCCAGTCGTGTGGCGCAAACTGTGTGGTGCATACTGTAAGCTAGGCTGTGCAAGCCATCCACATGGTGCAAGCTAAGTGGTATGGGCTGTGTGGTGCGAGCAGTGGGGTACAGGCTGTGAGGTGCACGCTGTGGAATGCAACGTCTGCGCGGTGCGACCTGCGTGGCGCGAACCATCGGCGCCGACGAGGCGCCCACGGGCAGGCACCGGCCGAGACCCCGGCAGAACCCCCCCAAGAGCGGGGGGCCCTCGTGGGCGCCCACGGGCTCGCTCTCGCCGGGACGTCCGTTCCCCGTGCTTTCGTCGGTTTCGTGCGTGCTCTTCTTGCCAGATGGTCGAGGATGCTCCTCGAGGAGGAGGAGGAGGAGGAGGAGGAGGAGGAGGAGGCAGAGGAGGCGGAGGAGGGGGAGGAGGAAGAGGAGGAGGAGGAGGAGGAGGAGGAGGTCGAAGGTCCTCGCCGGGAAAGGAAATGCACACGTCCGAGCGATGCCACGCGGGCGGGCACCGGCCGAAACCCTGACGCATCCCCCGAGCGCGGGGGCGCCCACGAGGGGGCACCAGCCCAAATTCAGGCACACACCCTCTGGCACGGGGCGCCCGCGAGCGCCCACGGGCGCGCACCAGCAGGACCCCCGACAGAACCCCCAAGCCCGTGAGCGTTCACGAGGCCCCCACGGTTCAGTCGGGCCTCTCCCTCTACAGGAGCAATATGCAAGAACAGTAAATAAGAACTAGTCTGGGGACGAGTTCTGCACCATGTTTCAATATTGTTGGAATATTTGTGGGGGTATTCTGTAATTTTTTCGCCCAAAATCCCCCTGTAGGGGGGCACGCCCGACCTAACCCCACGGGCGGGCGCCATCCGAAAATCCGACGCACACACACACACACATCCAATTGCTCAGCAGAAGAAGTAACAATCCCCAATTTCAAGCACTGTTTGGGACCTTTGCTATTCTGTGGCGCAGGCCCCTGATTCCTGTTGGCGTTCGCTTGCCGCTGCTAGCTGCTCACAATCTTGCGACTCTGTCTCGTCGTCGAAAGTATTTTCCGGTGCACGTTCACCTGCTTGCAAGCATGTTGAGTCGACATCGCTCCGAAGACATGCTTGGGCCACGGCCTCTCCAGGAGCACATGTGCCCACGACTCCACTTGCTGGCTGGCCCATGCCTGTGCAGGCACATTGACTTCGCATGGAGACGGTGCAGCGCGCCCAATGTACACCATGGCTTTGTTGTTGAAGACGACCTCCCCTCCCTCCATCACTGTGCTGACTGGGTAGTCGAAGCCAGCCTGGCGCCAATCTGGCAGGCCCAATCTGGCAAACGGGGGCAATCTGGCGAGGGAGCCAACGCGAATCCAGTCTGGCGAATAACCCAAATCATCCAGTTTGGCCGGGCCAGATTGGCCCTTGGGGCCCAATCCAATCCGACAGTCTGGCCTTCGACTACCCAGGCTGACCAACATCGGCAACGCCGCCGTCACTCTGCCCTCCGGCCCGATCAGCGACACCGAGAGACGCAACACGCCGCCGAATCCCGACGCGTGGGCCCCTGGCGTCAAGATCGCGACGCCACCAAGCCTCACGGGGCTGAGCGGGAATTGGGAACCCCCAAGCCGGGTGGTGAGATATCGGGTGGCGACCTGGAATCCCCCAAGAGGTCACCGCTGGGTTTGGGGACGCGGGGTCACCACCGGGTTTTGTGACTCCTGGACCCACCAGTGTCCGGGACATCCTCGGAAAACCGCACGAGTCCCCAAACTGGGTGGTGACACCAAATCGCCCGAGACTCACCACCAAGTATTGTCACCACCACGTTTGGGGACTACCAAAGGAACCCGTCGGGGATCTGCTAACCCGGGTCAATCAGATCCGGGGTCAGCAAGAAACAAAACAAAAAAAAACTGGGGAGATCGAAAGGTACCGATACCGCTGCTCCCAAGACCTCTCCGGGGGTGCGCTCTGAGCAGGATTTCGAGGCGAATCCAGCGGTCGCGACGAGGGCCTGCCTGGAGGCCCATGAAGGGAAAACGGGCGAAGGGTGGAGGTATGGGTACCTTTCCCTTCTCTGAAAAACTGCGACGCAGGGCTTCGCAAACCCGGGTCAGCCAACATGCGCGGCCGCCTCGCGGCCACAAGCGGCTCGCTAACCCGGGCCAGCAAGAGGGGGTCTTCGCAGGATTCTGCAGGATCCGGTGCCCTGCTTGACCCCTGTTTGTCAAGGGGCCCAAGGACACACAAAGAAATACAAATGACGAGATTCCCCATAATCTCCCATATTTTATCGGGTTTTTGTCTTCCCCCCCCACTTCCCATATTTTCTTAGGAATCGACGATGACTTGTGTCTGTGTGTTGTTCCCCCTCCTGAGTTTGCACCGACATCCGTCTCTTGAGCCCCGAACCCGTGGCGGGCGGGGCCTGCCGGGGCTGATGGACAAGCAGCGTGGATGCCACGACAATGGACACCCTAACAGTCCTATCATTGAATTTAAAATGTGTTTAACATGTAGAAGCAAATGCTCTAAACATGTTCAAACATGGTTTGAGCAAGTTTTGATCATGTGTTTTACATGCTGAAAACATGTTTAACACATGCTTTAGACATCTGGGAATTGTTTGGCACCATGCTTCCTCTTCATTGATCGTCCTCCACAACCAGAAGGGGTCTTCGCAGGATCCTGCAGGATCTGGTGCCCTGCCTGACCCCTGTTGGCACCGACCCCCGTCTCTTGAGCCCCGAAGCCGTGGCGGGTGGGGCCTGCCGGGGCTGATGGCTGAAGCACACACGACCTCTGCCCCCCTTCAACGAGGCCGCGCCCCTGCCACAACAGGAGGGGATGTTCTCGGGGCCCGTCAAGGCAGGCAAGATCCCGAACGAACCGACACCTCGCCACACCTTGGCGAGCAGGTCGGGCTGGGCCCAAGCGATTGAAATCATGCCCGGCCGTGGCTATTCGGAGCCAGTGTTACCACACCAAGGCAAGACGCTGATAAGGGCACGTCGGCAATACTCCCGAACCAACGTGAACCCGACCACACCCCAAAGATCGGCGCTAAGCGGGGCTCGGCTGCGGGCGGGTGGCGACGGCACACCCCCTGCCGCATACAAGGCTGGTTTCCGACGGCGACGGGGCTTGTGGGCGAATGGCGGCGGCCGATCCCGCTGCGCAGACAACGGCCTTAGTGCTAGTCGGTGACGGAAACAAAAGGGCTAGTCGGCGACAGCGACGGCGCGAGTCGGCGACCAAGCGATGGCATCAGCTGACCCCGTAGTGCGTAGGCAGTGGCAAATAGAATCCAAACATATACGAATCAAAATTTTCATCACAACACCCGTTCTGACTATATAAAACCACACCCGCTCACAAACACACACGCGCACACTTGTTGGCCGTCGCGGCCTCGCGCGCGCCGGCCTCAGATGGGCTGCACCATATGCCACACACACACACACACGCCGCCACCAAGCAACGATTGACCATGTTAACCTGAATCCCAACATGCACGTACCGAGAACACGTTCGTCTGACACGATGTCGTCCGACACCCCGTAGCCCAGCTGAGCAAGTCCACCACCTAGCTTGCAGTAGTAGCGTGTCCCAGGCGCGTCAGAATTATTCTGCGTTGGCTCCTTGCGGAGGCTTTGTTAGGAGCCCCCATGGGACACCATCCTATCCCACCGTCGGTTTTGAGCAACACTCCTATTGTTTCTGTTGGATGCCACAGGTAAGCAAAACCGACTGACCCTCCTGCTGGGCGGTTCAGGCTGGCGCCACTTCGACGGTGTCGTGGCTTCAGGATATCCCACGATCGCCCTCTGGCGCGGCCAAGAAATGAAAAGGCGTTTAGGTCTAGCTCCGAAATTCCCCATGTGAACTCGCATCATCTCGGACAATGCCAATTATATCCCCACCACTGGCCTCAAACATAGCAGGGATCTGCCAAGATGCCAGCAATGTGGTCCCCGAGCCTGCCCAGAAACCCTCAAGACGAGTGCCCCTAAGAGCGGGAAACGCCTAGACCCCCTAGATATTTCCCCTTAGCCTGCGTTTCAGCCAACGTTATCTTGCCGCTCTTCTTGATCCCAGGTGACTTACATACGGTCCCCGAAGCAACCCTCTGGCGGCCCTGTATGACGTCCAGACGCCCCAAAAAGCCCCTCACAAAGCAACAATACCAAAACATCATAGCCGTAAGACTTCAAGATCCGCAAGGACGGTCTCAAGGACGCCCATGAACCTCCACTGCGATAGCAACAATGTGCCGCCTTAAGCACACTGAGCGCTTCTCAGCATTACCCATCAGAAGCTCACGAAACCAGCCGTCTGGAAATACCACTCTGAACATCCCAACGGTGTACCACCCTTGTAAGGACACGCGAACATGTGCTGGCAATCTGCGCTGACGCATGATCGAACAAACATGAGGTACGCAAACTGATGGAACACATGAGTACTTGCATTACTTACAACGGCAATTGAACATGTAGCAGTCCCGAAAGCGTGGCAGCAAGAAAACAGGGTAGTGCACTCGAACCCCAAGCTTTCAGCTTATGTGTACTGTTCCACACATTCTAATCTCATAGGTGGGATGTGGATCGCACCCGGAGTCCACGCCTTCATCCACCTCCAATGCTCCAACGAGGAACTGACTATCAAGACGTAGACCGACTACTCCTAGCAAAAGCCCCTCACGACCGACACGGGCTGGCTGAACGCCGCAGGGACGATTGTCCTGAGGAAAGCGTGAGCAGAAACGCATGCGGAGAAATTGGTTCGTGTACAGGGGGGCGCCACGTGCTGAGTGAATTTACAGATCGCAGTGCACCTAGAAAAGTCTCGCATGAAAGACGAGACTATCACGTCAATGCTCGGACTCACGTGGCATATGGCTGCTTGCGCTGGTGACAACAAATCAGAGCCTTCATGAGCTCCTGGGGACTTCCCTGTCGACAAACACAGTTCCCCTCAACCACTGGGCCCAATGTTGGAGTGCTTGGGGGCGGGCGTCTTGGGGCCATCTTGGGCAGCCTCGGGACACTATCGGGGACATCTGTCTTGGGCCATCGTGATGCCCGTTGGTCCCACCTTTTGGCGGTAGCGGGCGCACCGAAGACAGAAGACACGGATCTCCCCGAATCACAACGAACAGTGGTGACATCCGAATAGTTGACTCATGCTCTCTTGGAAACCTTGATTAGGTCATCATTGAACGTCTCGGGGGGTTCTGCAACCACCTTGGTCAACCGTGGGACCGTGCGGGCGCTCTCCTGACGAACCCATTTTTGCCTCTGGGAGCTCTCTGGGGCAGCCTCGTGGGGGCCTTTTTCCCAACCATCCCGTGGTGTTGGGTCCTCGTTTTGAAGAGACGGTGCCCCGCGTTCCTCTCCTCCTCCTCCTCCTCCCCCTCCGCCCTCTTCCCATCGTCATCATCATCATCATCATCATCATCATCATCATCATCATCGTCGTCGTCGTCATCATCGTCATCGTCATCGTCATCATCATCATCATCATCATCATCATCATCATCATCATCATCATCATCATCATCATCATCATCATCATCATCATCATCATCATCATCATCATCATCATCATCATCATCATCATCATCATCACATCATCATCATCATCATCATCATCATCACCACCACCACCACCATCATCATCATCATCATCATAATCAGCATCATCATCATCACCATCATCATCATCATAATCATCATCATCATCATCATCATCATGATCATCATCATCATCACCATCATTCATCATCATCATCATCGTCATCGTCATCGTCATCATCATCCTCATCCTCCTCATCCTCATCCTCATCATCAGCATCATCAGCATCATCAGCATCATCAGCATCATCATCACCATCATCATCATCACCATCATCACCATTACCATCATCATCATCATCAGCATCATCAGCATCAGCATCAGCATCAGCAATATCATCATCATCATCATCATCACCATCATCATCATCATCATTATTATCATCGTCATCATCATCGTCATCGTCACCCACGCCCATTTCGGCACACCCCTCATACGTTTCGTGGCCCCATAGGGAGCTCCACCGAAGGCCCCAGTGGCCGGGTCCGAATGCCTCCCCATTACCCATTTCGGCACACCCCTCACACGTTTCGTGGCCCCATTGGGAGCTCCACCGAAAGCCCCAGTGGCTGCGTCCGCATGCGGTTCCACCCCTCATTTCGGCACACCCCTCACACGTTTCGTGGCCCCATAGGGAGCTCCACCGAAGGCCCCAGTGGCAGGGTCCGCATGCCTCCCCACCACCATTTCGGCACACCCCTCACACGTTTCGTGGCCCCATAGGGAGCTCCACCGAAGGCCCCAGTGGCAGGGTTCGCATGCCTCCCCACCACCCATTTCGGCACACCCCTCACACGTTTCGTGGCCCCATAGGGAGCTCCACCGAAGGCCCCAGTGGCTGGTTCGCATGCCTCCCCACCACCCATTTCGGCACACCCCTCACACGTTTCGTGGCCCCATAGGGAGCTCCACCGAAGGCCCCAGTGGCAGGGTTCGCATGCCTCCCCACCACCCATTTCGGCACACCCCTCACACGTTTCGTGGCCCCATAGGGAGCTCCACCGAAGGCCCCAGTGGCAGGGTTCGCATGCCTCCCCACCACCCATTTCGGCACACCCCTCACACGTTTCGTGGCCCCATAGGGAGCTCCACCGAAGGCCCCAGTGGCAGGGTTCGCATGCCCCCCACCCATTTCGGCTCACACCGCTGCCCCAGTTCGTCAACAGGAGCTCCACCGAAGGCCCCAGTGGCTGCGTCCACATGCGGTTCCACCCCCCATTTCGGCACACCCCTCACACGTTTCGTGGCCCCAGGGGGAGCTCCACCGAAGGCCCCAGTGGCTGCGTTCGCATGCGGTTCCACCCCCCATTTCGGCACACCCCTCACACGTTTCGTGGCACCAGGGGGAGCTCCACCGAAGGCCCCAGTGGCTGCGTTCGCACGCGGTTCCAAGCCCCCATTGCGTGGCCCCAGGGGGAGCTCCAGCGAAGGCCCCAGTGGCTGCGTTCGCATGCGGTTCCGCCCCCCATTTCGGCACACCCATCACACGTTTCGTGGCCCCCGGGTGAGCTCCAGCGAAGGCACCAGTGGCTGCGTTCGCATGCGGTTCCACCTTCCATTTCGGCATACCCCTCACACGTTTCGTGGCCTCATAAGGAGCTCCACCGAAGGCCCCAGTGGCTGCGTTCGCATGCGGTTCCACCCCCCATTTCAGCACACCCCTCACACGTTTCGTGGCCCCATAGGGAGCTCCACCGAAAGCCCCAGTGGCTGCGTTCGCATGTGGTACCACCCCCCATTTCGGCACACCCCTCACACGTTTCGCGGCCCCATAAGGAGCTCAACCGAAGGCCCCAGCGGCTGCGTTCGCATGCGGTTCCACCCTTCATTTCGGCACACCCCTCACACGTTTCGTGGCCCCAGGGGGAGCTCCAGCGAAGGCCCCACCGGCTGCGTTCGCATGCGGTTCCACCCCCCATTTCGGCACACCCCTCACACGTTTCGTGGCCCCAGGGGGATCTCCAGCGAAGGCCCCAGTGGCTGCGTTCGCATGCGGTTCCGCCCTCATTTCGGCACACCCCTCACACGCTTCGTGGCCCCATGGGGGAGCTCCAGCGAAGGCCTCAGTGGCTGCGTTCGCATGCGGTTCCACCCCTTCATTTCGGCACACCCCTCACACGCTTCGTGGGTGGCCCCATGGCGAGCTCCACCGAACGCCCCAGTGGCTGCGCTCGCACGTGCCCCCCCCGCCCCCCCCCTATTTCGGCACACACCTCACACGGTTCGTGGCCACATAGAGAGCTCCACCGAAGGCCCCAGCGGCTGCGCTGGCATGCGGTTCCACACCCCATTCTGGCACACCCCTCGCACGTTTCGTGGCCCCATAGGGGGCTCCACCAAAGGTCCCACTGGCACTGCCCGCTTGCGTCCGCCACCACCCAGCACAGCCCTTGTTCCCCGCGCTTCACCCACCCAGAACAGCGCTTCGTAGCCCTATAGGGAGCTCCACCAAAGGCCCCAACGGCACCGCCCGTATGCGTCCGCCACCACCCTGCACAGCCCTTGCTCCCTGCCTGCGTTTCACCCACCCAGTACAGCGCTTCGTGGCCCCATAGGGAGCTCCATCGAAGGTCACAGTGGCACCGCTCGCATGCGTCCGCCACCGCGCAGCACGGCCCTTGCTGACCGCGTCTCACCCACCCAGTACAGCGTTTCGTGGCCCCATAGGGAGCTCCACCGAAAGTCCCAGTGGCACCGCCCGCATGCGTCCGCCACCACCCAGCACCATTGCGGCATTCACAACTGCATATGGCTGGGTCCTTCGCCAGGCTAATTTTTTCACGAGCGTTCAGACGACGGCTCTCGCAGACCTACGCTGCTGCAGCGTCACAAAAAGAGGGGCGGGGACGGGGCGGGTCGGCCGAGTGACGGCCAGTGCTGGCGATGGCTCGTGGACGGGAGGAAAAGCAAGATCTCTGCTGCTCTGTCCAAGCCCGATTGGTTTTCGCTCGATTGGCTTTCGCTTGAACGGATTACCTTTTCGCTAAAAACGAGCGTCTTTTCGCTTGAACGATCCACCCTCCGCTCATCGCAGGGCGCCAACCTCCGTAGCTCTCTGGCACAACTGTCCACGCATTTTGCGCACCCCTGCAACCACTCTGAAGAACATGACTTGCGGTACAACTCGATATCTGCCCGAAAAAAAACAACATGCATCCTTGAATATGCTGGGCTCGGCGAGAAAGGACTCATAGGACGGAGGCGAATCATGCAGATGCTTGCTGTAGCGGAGATATGCTGCGCCTGGATCCACCCGGGGGGACTTCTTGACGTAGTGGTTCGATGACATGTTCTTTCTGGTCAGGCCCTGTATGTTTTCGGTTTGGTCGAACCAAGCCAATCCAGCATCCAAGCTCTCGACTGGGAGATGTTGCACCCTGTCAAATTCAGTATGTTTGCAGGTATTGTCGCACTGGGGCAAGTAATGAACGTCTTGCCAATAGCGGCTACGCGTTGCTGCAGTGTGTTTCAAGAAAGCGATGAACTCCGCGAAAGAGGCGTCTCCTGCGAAGTCTGCGATCTCGCGTTCGATAAATGTGTGTATCTCGGTACTCATGGTGTGAACGCACGAAGAGACCACTCGATCCAACGGATTGCGCACTATCTGGAGACACTTCAAGCCATTCAGCCCGCACTCGGAGCACTGGTATGCTTCGTGGTCTGCATCCTGGTTGAATACTCTGCCACGGTAATCGTGAATCCAACTGCTGAACTCCAACGCCTTGTTAGTTAACCCTGGGAAGCAAACAGTAACCCCCCCGGCGATATCGTTAGCACAGAAAATCAAATAAATAATTATTTTGGGCGGCGCCCTCCGGCGATATCGCTAGCACATAAAAATATAATAAAATAATTAATTAATTTGCCCCCCCCCCCCAGGCCCGAAGCTGGCGGCAACGTGAGGCGACAGCCTGAAGAACCACAATGCGCACGAACGCTTCCCAATGGGTTCCCGCCTAGAACACAGGGAAACTGACGCGCATCGGAAATCAAAGGTAAATCAAAAACGACAAACAATGAAATCACCGCAAGCAGCTATACTTGAAAGGACCCCCCAAAAGAATCCCAGAGGAATCTCAGAAGGAAGCCCACGCAGAATCTCAAAGG